TAAGCAACCCTGAGACTTTATAGTGTTGACACCCATCATAATAGATAACAGAAAACATAGAGGCCAAGGCCAGCTTGCCTTACTTTAACTTCTAGATAGATATTAGTATCCCAAGTTAGTCTTTTATGAAGACCTCCAAGCATCTCTCCCTATCTAAACTTTAATTTTGATATTTTACGCAGAGCTCACAGGATAAAGGACCATCAAGTGACCAGATTGTGGGAGCTAGGAGGGCTTCAGAGACTCAGCCCAGACCCTACAACTCACTGGTGGCAGCCCAGGAACTAACACCCAGGAACCCTACATCTGTTTCCTTTGACCATTTCCTCTTAGTCTTCTTATCTCTGAACATTGAAGTGTTGATTTCAGTAACATTTACTTTGCTATTTGAGATGTCATGGTGTCCTAGAATATACAATGAGCAAAGAGTTTGAAGACCTTCATTCAAGTCTCAGTTCAAATTGAGTTATCTTTGACAAGTCAGTTTTCTTATCAGAGTCTCAATGTTCACATCTATTTAATGGGAATAATTAATAGCTGCCCTTCTTATCTTTATGGGATTGTTACAAGGTTTAATGAGATGTGTGTGAAAGCACACAATAATCTGCATTATGCTTTGCAAATGTAAGAGTGCTATTGTTTAATCCTAAATTTCCTGTATATTCTATCATATCCCTCATCCTATAATTTGAGTTTTTCAGGGTCCCTATCTCAAACCTCTGCCTCCATTCCTTCAGAGACTATGACTCAGTAATAATCCTTTAAGCCTAGCCTTTGACTAGGCTTTAGTCATGGGAGGAAAAAAATAAGTCTTAGTAAAATTATACCAGTGTTTGAGAGAAATAGAATTACCTAGCAGAAAATTATGTCAAATACTTGCCATAATTACTTTTTTTTTTTTTGGCAATGATCTTAAATGTTTAAGAGCCATATAAAAATCAGTTAAGTGTAACATCTTAACATCACCCTCTATGTGGATCTGAATCACAGGTACAGTCATTTGCCAACTGACCAAAGAATTCCAGGTGAAAATAAAATTATCTTAGAGAATAATGAAAACCATAATTATAAACATGTATAGCTTGATCGGCCCTGTTTTTTTTTATTTTTATTTGGATGGACCCAACTTTAGGTTCATGGCTTCTCAATTCACTGTCTGTGTGGCCTTGGGCAAATGATTTATTATCTCTAAACAAAGATACTGATTTTGTCTGAAAACACAATGAGGTCAATGGGTAAGATTTACAGTTATTGAATGTGGTATTGGCTTTAATATACATCTTTTGGTTTTATGAGACAGAGACCACATTCATAACCAAAACTAAGAGATCCTACTATAAAGACGTGTGCAATAACTATTAAAAAAAAAAAACTCTTGGAAATCAGAGAGCAGGAGGCACGCTAAGACTGGGTCTCACAATGGGTAGATATTGGTTCCTCCTGTTCTTGGTCACAACAGTGAAAACTGTAAAGCCTGACCCTGGTGTAGGCTTTTGGGTTGACTCTACTGCTCTTCATGTTCTTTCTTTTCTTTAATTCTTTTACCTACTGAGTTTTCACTTAGCTTCCCTAAAGCACAAGTCACTAGGTCTCTCAAGCTCAATTCTATCTTTCGACATGCTTTCTGGTAACAAGTTGTTCACTTGCTGCATGTTTTCCAATCATATTTTTTGAGCAAACATCCTTAGGAATGGTTTCCTTTATTTCATGCTAAGAAATGGGTTCCTGCTTAGATTATGTATGGCCACTCCTCCACCATTGGGTGACCACTAGTATAATCATCTGTCAGAGATAAGCTACAAACATGGTGCCTGGGGTGTGCCTCTTCAGCAAGGACAGTGGGTAAAATTCCTACAAAGAAGTCCATGCAATGTGCAGTGGCTCAGGTTCTAGAATTTGCTTGAATTCTAATCCTGACTTTGACAGTTTCTGAAGATGTGACCTTAAACAAGTTATACAAGCTTGCTGAATCTCAGGTCCCTCATCTGAAGAACGGGTATGATAGTTCATATCTCATAGGAGTGTGGTTGAATTATAAATAGCAAAAGTAAACACTTAGCACAGTTCCTGCTTCAAATAAAACCCTCACTAAATGCTCACTATATCTATATCAGGAAGTGGTGTGGGCGGGCACCATGAGAGGGTCTATCTACAGAAAGGTACTCCATTAACAATTGTTCACCTCTCCTTTGTGCTGAGATAAGCAACACTGACTCCTTCCCTGTCTCCCTGCTTCAATGTAACTGCTTCAATTCCCCTCCCACCCCGAAAATGGGTGGCATTCTCCACAACCTGATGGGGTCACTGCATAACCCCGTGAGCAAATGGGATGATATAGGATTTCAAAGTAAATTCTTACTGAAATTGGGTAGATGGCTCTCAGTTTTCCATCACCGTGTCTATTTCATTCTGGATGGAGATCGAAGGCAACCCATTGAACAGGGTAATGAGTGTCCATGATAAATGCCTTCACCTGGGGGCTGGCATATTTACCGACTACCAAGTAACTTCTGGCATTTCTCCATCAGGGTCTGGGGAAATCATAGATTTTCACACAAAGGAAAAACAGTTTGCTGAGATGGAGTGTTTGATTTGGACATAGAAATTCCTTTTAAATTATGCTTTATTTAATTGGTGGTGTTGGGAAATGGGCTATTTCACAGAAATGAAGATTATAGACAGCTGATGTTTTTCTATTTTAGTTCTGAAACTATTTTAACCCTTGTTTAATAGAGTCTTCCTAAACTGTATCATATACTTCTGCCTTCTTAACAGAGGTTGCAAATTTCAAGGCTAATGTTTGAGTACTTCCTATGTATGTGGCACCACATTTATGTGACTAACTCTCATTAATTTTCCTCATAAGCCTGTGAGATAGGTATTAACATAACCTTCATTTTACAGAAGAGGACTTTGAGGCTTAGAGAGGTTAAGTAACTTATCAAAGGTTACACAGGTAGAAGGTGATGGAGTTGGGATTTGTGCCCAAGACTCCACAAGCCCTTTAGAAACCGGCCATGTTATTGGAGAGCACTTTGGTTAAGAAATGACCCTAAAGGCTATTCACCTTCAAAGTTAATAGCAAATCCTCATACACATTTCAGAAATGTGTCCATTTCTCTGAGCATCCCTTGATCATTTTTGAAAAGTAATATGCAAACTGGCAACACAGATTTTTGGATATTCAGGAATATTCCTTCATTCAGCAGATGTTACTTGAATACCCACTATGTTACTATGCCAGGCATCCTGGAGGCAAAGGAATACGAGGCACACAGCTGCTTTCAAAGAGGGCACACACTAGAGACACTCCAGTGGGACAATATGTGAAACTTGCCTACTTTGTGAGCAGGAAACACTTGAGACGATGGTGATTTTTGAACGTACCTATCAAGGCAATTGTCCTCATTAATACCTGCTCCCTATGGATCAAACTGATGAGTTAAGACCAGGTGGAATTAGATGCTTCCTTGGCCTCAAAGAGGCCAAGAAAGAAATAGGTGAGCTGTGTTTAAGAGATAGTTCAAGTTATCTTGCTTGGAAAAGAAACTATAGTCAGATGTTAACAAGCTTTGGGCCAGACCAAGGAGTTTGGTTTCTATAACCCAACTCTTTCTTAGATGGTGGTTTATAAAACCAGGGAGTCTATTAAAAACACATCTGATGGAAAAAATACATGTTTAATGGAATGTGTTTTCTCATTTAGTTAGTAAATGGGTGTTAAATGCAACTCCCAATTGTAGCTCTTAAAAATATATACTGTTTAGACCTCGCTGGTTTGGTCAGTGGATAGAGTCTCAGCCTGCAGACTAAAGAGTCCCGCGTTCAATTCCGGTCAAGGGCACATGCCCAGGTTGTGGGCTCAATCCCCAGTAGTGGGAATGCAGGAGGCAGCTGATCAATGGTTCTCATCACTGATTTTTCTATTTCTCTCACCCTCTCCCTTCCTCTCCGAAATAAATAAAATTATAAATAAAATAAATAAATTAAATAAATAAAATCTCTAAAATATAGTTTAGAGCAGTGGTCAGCAAACCACGGCTCATGAGCCCTTTGGCCCCTTGAGTGTGGCTCTTCCACAAAATACCACAGCCTGGGCGAGTCTATTTTGAAGAAGTGGCGTTAGAAGAAGTTTAAGTTTAAAATATTTGGCTCTCAAAAGAAATTTCAATCATTGTACTGTTGATATTTGGCTCTGTTGACTAATGAGTTTGCTGGCCACTGGTTTAGAGCATCATTACAATCAAGTATACGGTTTTCCAAGGTGATCACTTTGACATACTTTAATTATAATGTTCTTATCTTAAAAGTAATATGTTAATAGAAAATATGGAGTAATTTCTCTCATCCAGAGATACCTAAAGATTATGAAAGCAGCCCTCCATTAATCCTACATCCAGTGGTCCATCTCTGTGAACTCTCTTCTTCGAGTCACTCTCCTCCATCTGGACATAATAGCATCTCTTGATGACTCATATTCACCATTATGGGTGCTGTTTATGGCACTGCGCTGATGTAAGTTTGTGTGATAGTTGGGACTGTGACTGTTCTTTTGAGACCTTTTAAATTAGGTCTTTTTTTCTCTTACTTTAGCCAATGGCCATTATGTCTGGCTGCTTTCCATGTGTCTTCTTATAACTTCTTCCTAGTGTATTTTCTACCCACGATTAAGTGCTAGAATGGCTAATGACCTGGCTAGTCAATGTGTATTTCTAAAGTAAGAGTAAGCTGGCTCAGAGAGAGTGTAACCTCTGCAATGGCTATTTTAACTGCCAGGAAAGCATTACTTGTCTATAGAGATAATTGAGGTCTGCTTTATTGGTGACATTGAGCTAAGTGATGTTACTATTGGGCACTCTTTTCCAGAAAGGAAAAGAAAGAGAGAGGAATGGGGGAAGGAGTAAGGGAGGGGTAGGAAAGGGAAGAGAAGAAAAGCCATGCCAGTGCTTGCTTTGGGATCTCATTTTGAATTTCTCTCTTTTCACATTTGCTGATCACAGTGGTTTAAACTTCATTGACTTGATGGTGCGACAAGGGAATATCGACAACCCTCCCAAGACTCCTCTGGTGCCAGGTTTTGAGTGCTCGGGAATTGTGGAAGCTCTGGGGGACAGCGTGAAAGGATACGAGGTAACATTCTGACTTTTGACTGACAGAGTAATATCAATCTGGAATTCATTTAAATAATGAAAAATTCTGCAAAAATACTTGACACAATCTATAATGTGCATTGTTATTGATGTCTTATTGGTTGGTTTTATTAACAATGTATATAAATGTCAGGACTTTCCAAAGGTCTCATGTCCCATCTTGGTGCTCCTGGCAACAGTCTGGTGACCAGAGAAAATCTTTTCATTCCCTCTATTCATACTATACAGTTGTTAAATAAGAGTATTTGGTTTTGGTTTAACTAAAGTGTGTATACCCCTCTCCTCCCACCCATGGATCACACATTCCCATCACTTCTGGCTTAAAAATCAATTATACAACACAAAACTTGGGGAGAAATAGCCTCTATGTTTTTATGTTTTGATTCTGTTAACTATCTACTTAACTGATACATTTAAGAAATTGTTTATAATCATTATTTCAGACTGTGAGGATGCGGTCTTTTGGGTGAAATTTAAGAAATATATATTTTTATTGATTTCAAAGAGGAAGGAAGAAGAAGAAGAGAGAGAAACATCAATGATGAGAATCATTGACTGGCTGCCTCCTGGACACCCTACCCTGGGGATCGAGCCCATGATCTGCTGGTTTATAGGGTGACACTCAACCACTGAGCCATGCCAGCTGGGGTTGGGGTGAAATTTTAAAGCCACAAGGTAGAGGTACCTGAGAGTGGGATGGAATTGGCCATGGGTTGATGGATTGGGAGTAGAGCAGTGGGTAAAGAGGGTCATTATATCATTCTGACTATTTCCATACAAGCTCAAAATTCTCCATAATAAAAAATTTAAACAGTGAAAAGATATAGGACTCTTTCTCCCATTATAATGCAAATAAAATAGAATTTGTTCTATAAAGTCTGAAACCGTGGGCAAATCAATCACACAAAATTGCAGTAGTTTGGAGTCAGGAAAACCAATGGAAATTAGGTACAAGAGCTCTCTCTTAAACTAAGTGCTTCCCCAGAGAGACATGAATGCAGCTAGCATCTGAGAATCCACTATAACCAGAAACACGGGCAAGTTACCTTTTTTCAGCCTCGCCGCAGCCCTGCGAAGTAAAGATTATTACTGTCTCCTTAGAGATGAGGTTCAGCAGGGTTTATTACTTTTCTGTGGAGTCCAAAAGGTGGTACATAGTAATAGAACTGGATTTTGGTCACCAGAGCCTTTTCATTCCTCCATGATCTTTGCCCTTGCTCTCACCCTGCAAATGCTGCAATACTAAGTGCAGGAAGAAACATCCTATAAAATGCAATGCCAAGATGTCCTTGGAGTTGACTTGGAGCCTGCTGATCAGTGCATCTGAGCCTCAGTATACTCTAAAAGTATCAATATGCTCCAAATTCATTATGATAAATGTCTAGAAATATCTTCTCACCCCTCATTCTTTTTGTCCATGGTTTTCAGATAACATAGCAGAAAAGTGTTGAGCAAGAAATATGTGTGCCTTACTGAAACCGGCTTGGCTCAGTGGATAGAGCGTCAGCCTGCAGACTGAAGGGTCCCAAGTTCGATTCCGGTTGGGGGCATGTATCTTGGTTGCGGGCACATCCCCAGTAGGGGGTGTGCAGGAGACAGCTGATCTATGATTCTCTCTTGCCAATGTTTCTAATTCTCTATCCCTCTCTCTTCCTCTTTGTAAAAAAAAAAAATCAATAAATTAAAAAAAGTATGTGTGCCTTTTCTTTTCTTGTATATGACTTTGCATTTTCTTTCTCCAGATAAGCAATATAACAGAGGCAGCAGCATCTCTCCCCAAAATTGCTGCATATAAGAAATATTATCTGTTCCTCATTCCTTCACAAGGTCCCAAAGGAAAAGCTCATACTAACTCTATTAATTCTGAGCATTGGAATAATAACCCATTATTTTAGAACATAACAGCAGATAGGGATGTTGTTGACTTTGGTGTAGAGGGAGGACTTACTCTGCTTGATTATATATTTTTCATATATATATATATATATATATATATATATATATATATATATATCCTTTCTTCCGCTAGTTAGCTCTGGCTTGCATATTGTCCAACCTATCCTTCACCCCCCACTTCTCTCCAGTGACTTTCAGTGGCACAAATAAAAGATGCCACCTACAGGTTTCCAGTCAGGGGATGATTTGGGAGCAAACCAATACTAAAATTCCTTCTATAATTTTGATTTAAGATTTTCAATCCCATTAGAGATGGAATTCCATGCAGCAGCACACTAATAGCTCTCCTGGTTGATCGATTGCAACAGAGGCTTGCAAAACTGTTGCCAGAGGCACAGCAGTAAAGGAATAATTCCGACTTCATCACCCAAGACTGTTTTTTTTCTTCTTCTTCTTTTTAATAGAATCAAATAATGAAATGAATTGGATTTTTTTTTTTAAGTTGCCTACCTCTGGTCTCTGGGACTGGGGCTGGTCTGATGGCTTAGCCACTTTTGCCATTTAATAATGAAATTGAAAAGAGGGAGGCAGTCAGCCCTGCTCTGGTGCTGTGACCCTCACTGTGGTTGAAATACTCTTCATTCCATTCTATGTTGACACTGGAGGCCATTAGCCACACTGTTTTGGGTTTTGATGATTCTGTGCAGAAGAGGAAGCCAGTGTAAGACCACAGTGATCCTCTGGCCCAAGTCGTTTCATTTAAGGTGATATTCCCAACATTAGCCATTAAGTCTTCAACATTCTCAAGGATTGAGACACTCATTACCAGTGGGACAGCCTCTTCTTTTCATCAGATTCATAATTAGACAGCTACTCCTTCCATTTCATAAAGTTTACTGGGTCTATATTTAGCTTTTGATCATTAAACAGTGAATTCCATGAGATCAAGAATCATCTGTTCTTTTTAAGTCAACACTGATTGCTCTTTCCTCATTTTACATGCATACTGCCTAGTGCACTGCATGCATATTATGTTACTTAATCTTCATAAGGACCATTTCCTAATATTATACCCATTTGAGAACTGAGGAAACTGAGGCTTAGAGTTAAACTAACATCCCAGACTTGGTAGGTTCAACTGTTGGACACCCTTATATAACTTTGTCTTTTTTGTATCCCTTATCTCAGGTGTAATGAATTATTTTATCTGCAGTCAGCCTGCCTAGATTCAAATCCTGGCCCAGCTGCTCTCTAGCTACATGACCTTGGGCATATACTTTAATCTCTCTTTGCACCAATTTAAATGTCTGAAATCTACAATCATTCGTCTGTAATATAGGATTCTTACAGAACCCATCTCATAGGAGCCTTTTGCAGTTTGTTGAGTAGGGATAGAAAAGAAATGCTAAGCTACAAAGAAATTAAAACAGCAGTAGAATCCATTATAAATATATATATGACAACACACATATAGGAAAGCCATTAATTTATTGAGAATTTATTAGGACCACAGCAATTTAAGTATTGCATTTGAAAGTCATAATACAAGCTACTAACATAAATAGCAGATGGGTCGCTTTAGCTCACACTTTGAAGCTCCTACAAGCTATTAGTATTGGTTCACTTATTTGTTTTTTGCTTTAATAATGATAAGCTATGAAAAAAAAACTTAGCATACCATCATAACTGCTTTAACGAGATGATTGCTCTTTTTTTTTTTTTTGCATGGTAAAACACAATACTCAGCCATGCCTTTATGAGAGTTTTGAAGATTACATGAGTTATTAATAAAACATGCGATGTTTTTAGGACAATGCCTGCCATATAACATATGTCTAATAAATGGTAGTTGATCTCACACCTGGTGGCATATTCTTATTTGCCCTTGAGCCTGGTTGCTCTTATCAAGTCTCCACTTAATTCACATGGCTCTTCTGATGCACCGCATTCCCGTCCACAGTGATCGGTAATTCAGTGCTAATCTTTGATGCAAAGGCCACAATGAACTAGCCTGTCGAAACATCCATGTGGGTTGGCAGAGAACAAACAAGAGTAGATTTTACTTCTAGCCTTGGCCCATTAACCTTACTTGTGGTTCAGTTTTTCTCAGTTCCAAAACAGAGAGGTTAGATGAGAGGTTGAGTGCGTAAAATGACCTGACGCTGACATTCCATGGTGTGTGATGTGCTCCACACTGTATATTTATGCTTGAGAAGAGGAGTAAAGAATTGGCGTCCATGGTCCCTCAGAATATTTTATAGATGGGCTTCAAAGCATCCAAAAATGCCTTGAAATTGGGAGGCAGGTCAAGGGTGCATATTTGAGGGTGTTATTGTTTTTTTCTGGGAAGGAATCTATCATTTTCATTGTATTATGGAGTATCTGAGAAACCCCTCAAAAAGGTTAAGAAACATTCACTAACTCTGTGCTTCCCTATGCCCAGATTGGGGACCATGTCATGGCATTTGTCAATTACAACGCCTGGGCAGAGGTGGTCTGCACGCCCGTGGAGTTTGTCTACAAGATCCCTGATGACATGAGCTTCTCTGAGGCTGCTGCTTTCCCCATGAACTTCGTCACAGCCTACATGATGCTGTTTGAAGTTGCCAACCTACGAGAAGGGATGTCTGTGCTCGTGCACTCAGCTGGTGGCGGCGTGGTAAGTTGATGCTTATGAGGCCTCTTCCTCAGGCCATGATGGTGAAAGTGGAATGATACCCACGTGACAGTGAGATTCCTATGTGAGCTATTTCCAGGAGTAGGGATGATCTCTGGTGAAGCTCACATGGATGGAAGAGATCGTATAGATGATTGTGTTGGAGATAGAGTGAGCCTCAGAGATGGTTTCTATGGAGTTTGGGAAGGTCCCCAAGATGGCATGTTAGGACTCAGTGGGTCTCAGAGATGGTTACTGTAAAAAGCACTCTTAGTCTTGGTATGATGATGAGCTGTTTCTGTCAATCACTGTGAGATGCCTCATGGTCCTGCATTACTATTATTTGTAATGCCAAAATGGTGGATGATTTACTCTTTCAATACATTGCCATGAATTCAAGATTGTTCCTATATTAATGACATCCTTATTCATTTGTGTTCTGATGTATTTTCTTGAGTGGGAGAAATGGAGACTGAAATTGTACTAGCACAATTGGAATTTCACATAAACCTACTAGTAAGTACACCCTTGAGAGTAGTTGCACATACGAATGTCTTCTATTAGGCATGTCTTTAACAAGGGGGAGAATAATTGCTGCTCTGGAGTTCAGGGATGACAGAAATTTCTTCCATGGCTTGGATGTATCTCAATGACAGCCACTCAGTACATATTGCATGCCTGCCACATGATAAGCCCTGTGTTCCCTTCATGGTCTATTGTGGTTGAGTAGAACTGCAGTCTTTTTGAGAGTGAGCGGTATCACTCATTAATTCAACGAGTATTTTGAATACATACTTTGTTCTGGAATCAATGGGTTAGAGATTAATAAGAGAAGGTCTTGATATCCTATCTAGTAGGGTTTGAGAGGTTTTCAGTGTTGGAGATTCTGTAGTTTGATGAACTCAGAGATGTGAACTCTTATGCTTGGGTCTAACTTGGAGATATTTTCACTGGAGGTCATGCTAACATTGATTTTTTAAAATATTGAGTTTTTACCATTACCAAAACCCTACAATGTTTAAAGCATTTTTCCTTTCTGAGAAGACAAGTTCATATACAAAAAACAAACAAACAAACAAACAAAAAACAAAAAACAGGAAGGCAAAGAGATGACACTTGAGGAATGCCTTAAGAGGAATATCTTCAATCACTTTAGCAAATTTGCTAATGGCTTTTGACCATGAATAAAGATATAATAAAAGCTAAACATCCCTTAGAAAAGAAATAGATTTCAATGCCAGCTAGTGTGCGAACAGCAAGCAAGCCATTTAGAATCCTGGCATTTATGATCTCAGTGTGCTCAGCATACAAAGCGTTGGATACTTGTTTTCATATTATCAACAGAAACACCAGCCTTTACAATGATGCTAAACACAGTTCTCCTGAGAGTCAGTTTCTAAACATTAGCACTGATGATGTTTCCTTTTGTGTTTTTAGATTTTTCATTTAAATGACCATATTCCCGGAACAAAGAGGCATGTGTCAGAAGCATGTGTCTCACAAAAGAGAAAAAAATTCTGCAAATGAAAGTTTTTACCATGCCATATTCTGGGCTTTACAGACATTAAAATATAATAAGAACTAAAATGTGAAACAGATGAAGCCTCTGGGGGAAAGGGACAATACGGGGAGGAAAATAAATTGTCACACATAATGTAGGCTATGATGTCCTAATGCTTTGGTGAAGATGGACAGTAGTCTTGGTACTTAGCTTCCTAATACTGTGTGCAAATAGGGAAAAATGACCAGCAATGTGAATACATAACATGTATTCGATAGTCCACTTGGTGGAAATAACCAGTTATTATAGAGAATTATAACTGGTACTGGGTTTTGAGAACTGAGAAATATTTCTCAGTGTTTTGTTTTTTTTTTCATAAGAAATGTATACAGAAATGTGATGAACATCCTCAATAAACTGTTACAATAAATGCCATTATTTCCTTGATTTTTTTAAAGGTGTATTTTTAGTATAGTCTAGTAGCACCGAAGTAAAGCAAAGTATAGTGAAAGAAAGCAAATATCCTAGAGCCAAAAGGAAGTTGTCTGTCTTAATCTTAGGTCGGTTTAAAGGAGTGGTTGGACTGCCCATCTCAGATGAGTAGGTTTCTTCCCCACAAGACTTGATGGGTGGTGTGAATCACAGTTCAAGGTTACCATTAAAGGAATGACTTCTGGCCAACTGCACACTTATATATATATGAACACTCAACCAAACTGCAGTGAAGTTGACCCTGATTTACAAAATCTAAGGAAGCCTCCTGAGAACCAAGACCTTTCCTCTGCCCCACAGTGAGAAGACCACTGAGTCACCTTCAGGTAGAAAAAGATTCCTTCCAACCAGTCACTGCTTTTGTAGTGGAGAATGCTCCATGGGAGCACTTTTTAAAAATATATATATTTTTTGTTGTTGATTTCAGAGAAGAAAGGAGAGGGAGAGAAATAGAAACATCAATGACGAGAGAGAATCATTGATCGCCTGCCTCTTGCACACCCCACTCTAAGTATCAAGTGCACAACCCAGGCATGAGCCCTGACTGGGAATCCAACCATGACCTCCTGGTTCATAGGTCAATTATCAACCACTGAGCCACACCAGCTGGGCTCTGGGAGCACTTTTAACGTAATATCTGTGTTACCTTGGAGGGAAATGGAGATGCTTCCCATCACTGTTGGATCAATCTGGTAAGTGCAGCCATTAGCTGCATGGTTACTGTGGCAGGCAGGATAATACCCCGCATTCCCCTCATAGCCATCCATGTCTATTTCCTGGCACCTGTGAGCATGATACCTTACATGGCAAAAGGAATTTTGCAAGTGTGATTAAGATAAGGACCTTGAGAAGGAGAGATTATTCTGGATTATCCAGATGAGCCCAATGTAATCACAAGCGTCATTAAAGATGGAAGAGGGAAGGAGGAGGGCCAGAAAGAGGTTTAAAGATGCTACTTTTCTAGCTTTGACAATGGAGAAAACACCATGAGCCAAGGGATGTGGGCAGCCTTCAGATGCTGGAAGAGACAAGGAAATGGATTCTCCCTCTGGAGCTCTCAGAAGGAACACAGTCCTGTTAACATCTTATTTTAGCCTAGTGAGGCCCATTTTGGACTTCTGATCTCAAGAACTGTACTATAATAAATCTGTGGGGGGGGGGAAGGGATGGTATGAGCCACTGAATTTGTGGTAATTTGTTATAATAGCAATAGGAAATTAATGCAGACATTTCTCTGGGCTGCCTTGCATTTCATTGTGGAGAGCCCACTGAGGCAAGTAGCAAGTAGCAGAACTGGGATTTATACCCTAATCTGGCTGATTTCCAAGACTAATTCTCTTTTCATTTTATAACCTAAAATGGTGGGAGAACGCAAGTCATTCATTCCTTCATTTATTCATGCATTTAACAAGTATGTGTTCAACTTCTACCCAGTGCTAACTATAGATTTTATTTTACTTTATTTTATACTGTGGATGAGAATTTTCATTTTTTTTCTTAATTGAATTTGTGGGGGTTTCATTGGTTAATAAAATTATATAGGTTTCAAGTGTACAATTCTATAATATATCATCTGTGTATTGTATTGTGTGTCCACCATTCCAAAGTCTAATCTTTCATCACCATTTGTCTTTTGTTTACCCTCTTCTACCTGCCCCAAACCCCTTTTCCTCTGGTAATTACCCTATTGTTATCTTTATGTGTGAGTTGTTGTTTTTTGCTTAATCCATTCACCTATTTTACCCAGCCCCCAGCTGTCGGTCTATTCTCTGTTTGCTAGTTTATGTTATAAGTCAAATCATATGGTATTTGTCTTTCAAGGTACTTGCCCTTGACTGGAATGGAACCCGGGACCTTTCAGTCCCCAAGCTGACGCTCTATCCATTGAGCCAAACCAGTTTCGGCCATTTTTTATTTTTTGAGGAAATTCCATACTGTTCTCCACAGTGGCTGCACCAATCTGTATTCCCAACAACAATGCACGAGGGTTCCCTTTTCTCCATATCCTCACCAACACTTGTTTGTTGATTTATTGATGATAGCCATTCTGACAGGTGTGAGGTGGTATCTCATTGTGGTTTTAATTTACATTTCTCTGATGATTAGTGAGGTTGACCATCTGCATGTCCTCGTTTGGAGAAGTGTCCATTCAGGTTTTTTGCCCATTTTTTAATTTGATTGGGGTTTGTTCGATTGTTTGTTTAATTTGATTGGGGTTTTTAATTTGATTGGGGTTTGAGTTCTTTATAAGTTTTGGATATTAACCTTTTATCAAATATATCATTGGCGAATATGTTCTCCCATTAAATGCATTGTCTTTTCATTTTATTGATAGTTTCCTTTGCGGTACAAAAACTTTTTAGTTTGATGTAGTCCCATTTGTTGATTTTTTTTTATTTCCTTCGCTCAGGGAGATAAGTCAGAAAAAAAAAATACTACAAGAAATGTCTGAGTAACTATAGACATTTCAAAGAGCCAAAATATTGTGGCCTGGGTACATGTTTCCTAGCTTGATGTTAAAGAGGTAACAAGAAGATTAAACCTAATTAGAATAAAGTTTCCTAAATTGACTTAATAGTATGTGTGCAGTTCTAATGTCATCAAGATTTTTGTCAAAGTCTGGGATGGAGAATTTGCAAACAGAATATGACAAATGCCAGTTTTAAGCTATAATTTTGAAGGAAACTTTTAATATAGCATAGGAATATAATTTCATCCAAAGCATGTTACTTTCTCAATGGAATTACTCAAGTGTCTACACATCTTTGAAGATACTGTTTTCCTCTGACAACAGCACAACCAGACAGTCTGAGAGGGTAATACCTCTATTCAAATGGTTGAAATGGGTTTATAATCTCTTAAAGGAAAAATAACAAAATAAGCAACCAAGTGGGACTCATGTTAAGAATTTCAAGATGAGGGTTTTGCTGCTAATTCCATTTCACAAACTACTATGACTTTGAGCATCTTGATTGGTGATGTGCTCCATTTTTGGAGAGTAACATTACTG